ATACTGGTTCTCGTTAGATCACCGAAGTTAAGCATCATTGGGCGCGGTCAGTACTTGGGTGGGTGACCACCTGGGAACACTGCGTGCCGTTGGCAAATTTGGGACCTGAATGGCTTCGAGTGTCTAGCGCTTCCAAGTGCTTCGGTGCCACAGGTTTCGGGTTCGAATCCCGCAAAGCATGGATGTTTGTAGTGGCTCGAATCCACTTTAAGCCGTAGGTCCCGGTCCTCTATGACTGTAAGAGCGTCACGGAGCAAAAAGTCAGGCTTCTACCTACGGGTGCTCCATCACAACAGAAGCTGCTTCCTTCCCTTCAATCATGAGTCCATATACTGTGGGCTTGGCCAGCCAAGTGGGATAAGAAACAACAACAACAACAACAAAGCAATGTGAGAATGAAATCAGGATACAAAATCTTTTAATGATGAAAGAGGGTGGGGGTCACTCGATCATAAACATTAAGATGCATCAATAGTAAAGTTGCTCTTGCTTATGGCATAAAGATTAACAGTCTCGGTATTGCTAGCTGCATTAAAACAACACCAATAGTAAAGTGGACACAGAGTATCCTTGAAACATCCTCCAGTGGCGAAGCATAGCAGTTTGGAGATCTAATTGCGAAATGGAGCAATGTAGATAAAAAAAAATGTTGAATTATGTAGAAATAATCCCCTGAAAATGAACAATGCTCAAGAAATTAGGAATAAATTTTATGAATAAAATAAAGGAAACACATGTATTTTACAAATATCATTAGTCATGTACACACGTTTCAAACAAGCATATAGCTTACATAACAGATAAAGCGGAACATTCTACTGGAGCTATTGCAATAGTCTCCATTGATAGCAATGCCCAAAATGTGTGACATTGCAGAGTCGTGAACACGTTTGAATTAAAGTAAAAAAATCTGTTCCTTAACGCAGGGGTCGGCAACCAGCGGCTCGCGAGCCACATGCGGCTCTTTGGATGTGAAGCTGCGGCTCTTTAGTTCCATAAGCAAATATTATTTATTTTAAAAAAAAAATCCCTATCTCTCAACCACTTGTACTCGCTTTTCATCGTACCCCTCCCCCGTGACACGCGTCGTCACTGTCGTCAGCCCATCGGAAGCTCTCGTATGACGCCGTCGTCGGATGTTTCTATGATGTCGGATGATGAAGAACTGTTTCGTGATTTCAAAAACAAAACAGAAATCTTGAAAAAAATCAAAGATTTGCCACTATCCGCTAAAACAGTACAAGATAGAATATCTAAAATGTCTTCAAATGTAACGTATTTGCAGGTGGAAACTATTCAACTTTCTTCTGCCTTATCACTTTTTATAGATGAGTCTTGCGACATAAAAGACACGGCACAAGTTGCCCTTTTTGTCAGATATATATCTTCCCAAGGTCCAAAAAAAAAAAAAAAAAGAACTTCTAGGATTGCTACCGCTCTCGGGACACACTAGAGGGGAAGATATACCGAATGCCGTGCAAAAATGCCTTGAAGACAATAAGATCGATTTTTTAAAATCGTTTCAATAGTAACTGATGGAGGCAGAAGTATGGCAGGAAAAAATAAAGGGGCAACAATGATTCTTTAGAGCAAAATAAACCGCGAAATTCTTACGTTTCACTGCATAATACACCAATAAGTGCTTTGTACTCAAACATTTCCGGCCGAAATAGTTGAGCACATGAATTTCTTAATCAAGATGGTTAACAGCATTTTGTCAAAAGCACTCTACCATCGTCAGTTTAAAGAATTCTTAAACGAAATGGAGATTCAGTATTCCGACCTCCTTCTTCACAATAAAGTGCGATGGCTTTCCAAAGGTAAGGTGTTTAAACGTTTTGCTTTGTGCTTGAATGAAATAAATGCATTCCTAAATGAAAAAGGCATTAATCACCCTGAATTAGAGAACGACAAATGGTTGCAAAAATTTTACTTTATGGTGGATATCACAGCGAAATTAAATGAGCTGAATCTAAAACTGCCAGGAAAGGGAAACCCAGCCTATCTTTTGGTAGAAGAATTGGTTTGTTTTGAAGAAAAATTAATTCTTTTTGCAGAAGATATTCAGAACTGTAAATTACGTCATTTTCAATTTCTAAAGCAATATTGCGATAGAACCAGTGCAACTGTTGACACGAGGTACTTCAGCACAGTTATAAAAAAATTAAAGATGAATTTTCTGACAGATTTCAGCAATTCAAAACCAACAAAACCACTCTAGCATTCATAGTAAATCCTCTCAACACAAATAGTAACGAAGTACACATTGAGCCATTTGGAATTGATACTGGATCTCTAGAAATGCAATTGATCGATTTAAAAAGTAAAGCTTTGTGGAGTGGAAAATTTACAAAGTTGAAAAGCAAGTTGGAAGAGTTGGAGGTCCAGAAATGTATGTACGTAACGCAACAAAAGTGGACAGCTTTAAAAAAAATGCCGCGAGTTGAAGAAGTGAGGTGAAGAAGTTGGCATTTGGAGTGCTGACTATCTTCGGATCGACATATTCGTGCGAGCAAGCGTTCTCTTACTTGAATATAACTAAAAGTAAAGTAAGAAGCCAACTAACAAATGAAAATTTAGAGTCGTGTTTGAAACTTAAAACAACAAATTATGAGCCAAATTTATCCAAACTTTCTAAAACCATGCAAAGCCAACGCTCCCATTGAATTTGTTTGCTTAAATGTATGTTATTTTTATTTTTTTTTATTTTAAGTACAAGTTGCATTGTAAAGTTTAAATTTTCTACTTGAATAACCAAGCAAAGCCATCGCTCCCATTGAATTTGTTTGCTCAATTGTTTGTTATTGAAGTACAAGTTAGTGTTGTACGTAAATGTTTAATTGTTTTCATTTTTTACTTAAATAATAAGTAATTATCTAATAATGCCATATATATATATTATCTAATTTGTTGTGAAAAACACTACTTGAATATGAATAAATAGATATTTTTTCTTATGAATAAATAGATTAGTTTTTTTTTATCAAAAAACCTTATTTATGCGAGTACTATTTATTGTTGGCAAGAAAAAAATTTTGTGTCTCTTTAAAAACTTTGAAATTTGGTAAATTGCAATTTTTGACTCTTCCGACTCAAAAGGTTGCCGACCCCTGCCTTAACGTAATCTCTGAAGTAGAAGTCCATGGGTGTCAAGTCTGGCCAGCTGCATAATTTGAATAATTCTCCTACATTGAAATATAAGTTAGTTGGAATATAAAATAACATTAGAATTCTAGAATAAAAATCATGAAGTAAGTAAACGAATAAATAGTCCGTGGTACTTCGACAATTTATATTCTCCTTGAGCATATTCTTTTTCAAGATATCGATTCTATATAATTCGATCATGGTCGACAGCTCAATTCGACTACCAATTTTCCTGTTCCGTCACTGAGGGTATTGCGACAGAATAAAGTACATGTCCACTTTATTAAAGGTGCACATATTATTTATGGTCGTGGATTATGGTTATTTCCCCACAAAAGAGGATTTGTCCCCAAGTTTGATATCGAATAGATTTAATTAATTTTATGACCGACCCCTTATTGAAAGAAAGGAAAAATTATAAATATCCTCCCTCCTAAATATCTCTGTATATTTTTTATCATACAGAGATGAAACTTTTTTTGTGTGTGTTACGTTTATTAGAATGAGCGTAAATTTTTACTGAATATAATTATAGAACCAAGGTAGTTTCTTTTTTTTCCCCTACGAACCTCACCCCTGTTTCTAGGGTTATACATCCCCCCACTAGTTAGAAAGGTGAGGGGGGAACATCAGTGAGCCTCATATGTACTACAACGGGTGTTGAGAGGGCAGTGCCTTCCCGGATGACTTTTATAAGGGTTATTACCTAATCCGGAAACTCCAACTAGGAAGCCTAACTATCGATGTGAAACACTTTGATGTGATTAAGCCCTTTATCACAATCGCCATTTAGTCTTCTTGTTTATGAAAGCAATGACTACAACAAATCATCAGCAAGATTGGAGCAACATCCCTATGGTGGGCCAAGGCCGTCTGGCTACTGGCACATTTCGAAACATGAGATGACTTAATTTTACGGGGTAGGGTTGTCAGCCCTACAGTCCTGTTAAACTGGGACCAACAGTTTAAAGTTGATTCCGAATCACTACAATCATCCATGGCACCGTTGGGATTCGAACCCGAAACCTGTGGTACCGAGTGCCAGAACGCTAGCCACTCGGTTATTCAGGCCCCGACTACAGCAAATCATCCGTGTAAATTTAGATTTTATACTTTCTCCAATATTGATTGTTCAAATATAAAGGAACTCTCGGAGTGAGATAGATTTCATTCCGAGGATTCACAGCCAGAGATAATGTGATTTGGTGCTCGCGGTCAGACGCAGACTCGAAATGAGATCGACTCGCCTTTCTCATACTCTTTTCTGGACGCCATTTCGTTTGGAGTACGTTAGTTACAAGTTACAAGTTACAAAGTTACAAGTATAAACAAACTTAATCTGAATCTTGAATGTTACTAAATATCTTTATGCCTCATTGAAGCATTTTCATTTTGTGTAATTTAATTAAAATAAAACTCATCTTAAATTTGATTTATATGAAATCAAAACTTACTAATCTTTCTTAGTAAAATGTATGTTTTTCACAGGCAGTTACAAAGTTTCATGGCTTTCAGACTAGGCCTTGTAAATCTCCTTCTAACTATTCTTGCACTTATTGGGAGTCTTAAATTTTCTTAAATAATTCAGCAATTAGCAAAGATGAAGTTTTCTTCAGATTTCTCATTGATTTTCAAATCGAATAATAATATTTAATTTTGAATTTATAGTTCCTCATTTAATCATTTTCTTATTCTTATGATAATTTGTCGAATAGTGTTCCAATAAGTATTAATCTTTTGGCAGTCTTCAATGGAGACTTCAGGTAAATTATATCTATATATATGTGTGTATGTGTATGTGCGTGTTTTTAAATAAGTACTAAATTCACGAAGAT